ATTGATCCTAACAGGGATAATCTGGTTTAAAAAAAGCTTTGTTAACAAAGAACAAGGATGTTAGACTCAGTGTTGTCTGTAATAGAGAAAAACTGGGCATGATTTAGTTAGCCAACAACCGAGGGTTGATTGTATTAAAGTACATTGAAATAATGGAACATTATATAGCTATTAAAATTATACTTAATAGACAGGATTGTAAGAGGGACTTTACCTAATAAATGCAATCGGTGAAACCTGGTTTCTTGTACCCTCAATGAATCCCCAACAATAAATTTTTAAAAAATTATACTTATTAGGAGTATTTCATAACAAGGAAAATGCTTGCCATGTAATGTTAAATAAAAGAAGGTGGTTACAAACTCGAGCAGATCATATGCTCTTAGCCATTTAAAAATATACACGTGCAGAAACACTAGTTGGAAATACCCTCCATAAATCTTAGCAGTTGTTGCCTCAGAGTGGTAGAACTTTGGAATGTTGTTAGCTTTTTAATACATTTTGGTGATTCTGCTACGGGGGCTTATGATTTGTATAATAGGCATTTTATTTTGTTATTTTACTTTACTTTATTTGGTTTATTTTTGAGATCGAGTCTCACTCTGTCACCCTGGATAGAGCGCTGTGGCATCACAGCTCACAGCAAGCTCAAATTCTTGGGCTCCAGCAGTCCTCTTGCTTCAGCCTCCTGAGTAGCTGGGACTACAGGTGCCTACCACCACACCAGGCTATTCTTTCTATTTTTAGTAGAGATAGGGTCCTCATTCTTTCTCAGACTGATTTCCAAACCCCTGAGCCCAAGTGATCCGTTCGCCTCAGACTCCTGGAGTGCTAGGATTACAGGTGTGAGCCACTGGGCCTGGCCTATAATAGATTTTTTAAAAGTTTTTAAAGTTCTAAGAAAGGAGATACATATACATATCTATCTATCTATCTATCTATCTATCTATCTATATATATATATGGAGAGAGAGAGAGAGAGAAAAGTGACATGGATGTAGTATCTTCCTGGCATGTACTGATGAAGATGGATAGCCACTAAGTGCTTGTGCCAGGGATCTGCAGTGGACTGTAAGGCATGCCCCAAGGTCTGAGCAGAGAGTTTAAAAGCGCACCAGGGACTGTCTAGAGAGCACCCACTCTGGGTGTCTTTAGGATGAGTTTGAGTCTCAGAGTCGCCCCCAGCAGTATAACTTAGTGAGGGAGACGAGGCATCCAAGCCTGGCTCTGCCACGTATCTACGACCAATTTCCTGGCCTCCCTCTGTCTCAGTTTACTCACGGTTAAGATGGGTTTTGTAATCATAGTACCTACCTCTTGATTTGTTGTGAGGATTAAATGAATTAATACATGGAAATCTTTACCTACCACATAGGACATGCTCAATAAATGAGCTATGGACAGTTTATTTTGCGCATAAGTCCCAGTGAAGGTTAGGGCTTTGCTCAAGGTCACACAGCCCTCAGGGATCAAGTTAATGTGAGAACTTTGGTCTCTGGATTTTCTGCTTTCGTTTTTTGCACCGTTCATAGTCACCAGCTTTAGATGTGAGCCAGAAGTTGGTTAGCAAAGCCCAAAGCGGTTGAAATGAAGTCATAACTAATCCATTAGACTCTTTTAGAGACTGTATGGAAAACATTGACCTTAAAAGGAAGTAATATATTTTGAAAAGTGTTGTGAAGCACTAGTGAGCTATAAGATTGATTGTCAGGTCTGAGTGACTCCTGGGCCTTCCTGAGTGTCCACTGTGTGCCTCTGCAGGTAACGCTGCAGTGACCACATGACCTCTCTCTTCATGAGGCTCACTGACCCCAGCCCAGTGCAATCCCCAGCACATGCCCACCTTACTGATCAGGACCAGGGAATGTATCAGAGCTAGTAGCTCTGTGACCCAAAGACATTGTGACTATGCTTTAACCACATCTTCTTGTTTTAGGCTCAGAGAACACATGAGGGAATGAAAGGACAGGCGGGGCCCAAAGGAGAAAAGGTTTGTGCTGTGATGATTCCAGAGAACACAAGTGTCCTGAGCATGTTGTTTGGGGTTTAATCAGTTTGAGAATTTAATCAGTTCTGATCCAGGTAGTAGTAGAAGCAGCCAGAGGGATGAGCCCAAGAAAGATTGACTTGAGGACCTGGGCAAATCACAAGGATAGCACTGGGTAGTTCTGACTGAGTCTCGTCCCATGACCTGGTGACCTTGGCCAAGTCCCTTGACCTTGGAGGGCTTCCATTTCTCTATGCATCATCAAAGAGTCCTTCTGGTTCTGGGGCTGTGTCTGAGGCTTGTACTTTGGCCCTGTATTTCTTTTTGGGAAACTGTTAGACAAATGAGATGCTGAGGACCACAGACCTAGGGTTTGCCTCTCCGTAGGCATAGGATCCCAGGAAAGTTCCTTACCTCTTCTTTGCTCTGGTGTCTTCATCTGCAAAATGGGGTGGTGATGATTACCCTATAGAGTGCCATGAAATGGGGGCTGCTTTGTCTGTTGTCAGTCAGAAAGATAATGAATTCCTCTTACCAAAACAACTGCTGGTGTTAAATTATTCCCAAGGGGATGTGTCCATAGTGACTGCAGCCCATGGTCCTCAGGAAATCTTGCACAGGAAGACTGCTATGGCCATAGGCAGCAACTTGACTGCCTCCAGGGACTCTTCACCCCTCCACATTGGTCCTGGTTCTCTGCCTCTCCTCGCCTCCCATGGGTTGCATGGAGGCAGCGCTCTGGGCCAGAAGATGCCCAGCTTAGTACCTCACAAGTATGCCCCGGGAGAGATGCAAGGAAGGGAGGGTGGTGTCCTTACTTCTCTCTGCTTCTGGCCACCTCAGAGGACTGCAGATGCCAGCGGGGCTCTGGGGGACATCACATACATGTATTTGGGGGGATTTTGCTGTCCACATTTCCACTATCCTTTTGGTTGGCTCAGGCCTTTCTGTCACCTCATTTGTCAGAGCACTCATAAACCTTTTGGACAGCCAGAACCGCCTGGATGCCACTCTTTCTCATTTTCTTTCTCTCTCTCCTTTCCAAATGGGTGCTTCTGTCATTGTAAAAGCATTTCCTGGGTACCAGCCCTGTGCCAGGCACTGGGACCTGGAGGTGATTTAGGCACCATGCTGGCCCTCCAGGAGCCTGTGGTCCCCAGGGAGGCAGGTCTGGGAGCAATAAAGACCCTATAAAGGTTAGGGGGCTGGTGCTCCAGCAGGGGCCAGATCAGGGGGAGCACCCTGGGTGACAAGGGGTTGTGTGTGTGCAGTGGTATCCACACTGGTGGGCTCTTTCTACCACTCCCCAAAGCCCCACCCCCACTGTGGTGCAGAAACAAGGGCTCCTGAGCCTGAGTTAAGACAATGAGTTCCATCTCTACAGAGGGGAGGGGATGTGGGGTGACAGTGCTTCACTGGCCATTTTGTTCTCTTTAGAGTGATACTGTGGAAGAGCTTCCTGGCTCGCCTGAACCTTCCCACCCTACCGGACCCACGGTGAGATTCCCACCCAGGCTCGTCACCTGCAAAGTATGTGGGAACCAGGGAAGGAGCCCAAATAGCCACAGGCTGAGGATTCTTCTCAGCCCTCAGAGTACCTTGCCGTGAGCCCTAAAGGGCAGAACTGACATATCCAGTTTATGTTCTGCATATGGCCCAGAGGTTCCTTAAACTCGAGGTGCCCCAAGTGGATTTGTCACCCATACCCCAGACCTGTTCCTCCTCCTGGACTCTGCATCTCTGGGATGGCACCCTCTCTACCTCATCACCAGGGAGAAAGCAGGAGACATCCCTGAGTGGTCCTCTTCCTCCACCGTCCCCAAGTCCTCCTGAGTCTACCCACGTAGGGCCTCCTCCTCCCTTGGGATGGCAGCAGCCTCCACACTGGTTTCCCTGCCTCCAAGTGGCCCTTCTCCCACCCAACATGCATACCACCCTGATCTGCCTAAAGCAGCTCTAACCCTACACCTAGCTGTCCCTTGGGCCTCTCAGGATGCTAAGTAGGAACACATTCGATGATGGATCAGGCTTCAGGGCTTCCTGCCCTCAGGAACTAAGTAGCAGAAAGGTGTTCTGAAAGTTCCCTTTTGCTCTTTGGATACTTTTGATGTCATTCAACAAAACAAACAAGTATTCCCTGAGGGCCCTCTGGCTACCAGGCCTCCTGTTGGACTCTAGGTGCCCAGTGTGTCTCAGGACTGGTCCCAGCCTTGCAGAGTCTGGTCTGGAGGGAACAACAGACACACACACAGCTAAGCTTTAGGTCAGGTGGTCCCAGCACACACTGAGACCTCAACAGAGGCCACGGGGTGCACAGAGGAGGGAGAGAAGAATTCTACCTGAGAATGGGGTGGGAGGGCTTCATGGAGGAGGTGACTGTGGAACTGGGTCTTGAAGGACGACGAGTAGGGAACTGAAGGGTAGAAAGGAGGCTGAGGACTGGCCACATGTTGGCTGCACAGTTGGGAGGGTCAGAAGGCAGTTGCAGAAGGAGTCAGAGAAAAGGCCAGGAGAGTCGGGAGCAGAAGTTATAGGACCACAGACTGTGGGAAGATTTTTGATGTCGTGGCCATCCTTGGAGACTGCCAGTGGAATGCAAGTTGTGGGAATTTCTTCTCTCTCAGGTGGGAGCAGTGGAGGCGGAGGGCTCCGGCCTGGGCTGGGGCTTGGAAGTTGATTCTGGCTCTGGTGACCGGCTGGGCAGCGAGGAGCTGTTGAGAGTGAGTGGGGCTGTCTCCAGGATAACACGGGAGGGGTGTCCCGGGGATCTCCCTGGCCCTGGGGAGGATTGTGGGCAGCAAGTCCATGGGGGTTCCTTACACTTTTCCCATAACTTTTGCATATGTTTGAACTTTTCCCCTTTGATGAGTTTCATTTTGCTTCAGGTGGGTCTGAGCCTACATTTATTGTCAGGAGCTCCCTCTCTGCATGTTCCTCCCTCCCCCGGCAGCCTTCTCGAGCAGGCTATTCCTCGCCTTAATGATCTTTCAACTTTCTGATGGCGCAAAAGCGAAATGCCATTAGTGGAAACCATACTCCGGGTACCCATGCAACCATTCTGTGTTCACTTTCAATACGCTATCCCATAAATTACATGATATATCAAATACTTTATTGTAAAATAGGCTTTGTGTTAGATGACTTTGCCCAGCTGTAGGCAAATGGAGTGTTCTGAGCACACGCTAGGCAGGCTAGGCTGACCTGTGGTGTTCAGTAGGTTAGGTGTATTAAACGTATTTTTAGCCAGTCACAGGGGTTGAAAGCAAGGTATTTACAGGCCTTCACCTCTGTAGGGTGATTTTGATCCCCACCCCACTTCCCTCTTCTCTTTCTATTCCTTAGAACTTCTAGCTTCTTCTCTGGTTAGCATTTCATACTCTGGCTTCCAGAACCTTCTCAAAATCCTCCCTACCCTTACACAACACCCCCCCCTCCAGGCTCCTCTTCCTCCTCCTTGGAGCCTCTTGCCCCCTGGCCTCTTGCCCAGAGCTGGGCTCTCCTGGTTCCTTTCTAGTGCTTCCCCTCCAGCTACATCTGGTGTTCTGTCCCTGGGATCAACCTCACCTTCCCCTTTCCCTGGATCCCCTTATGCTAAGGGCCTAGTTGAAGGCTACACTGGCCGCCCTGAGGCCCACTCCTGGTGGCCAGGGCAGGTAGGGCTCTGACTCAGTGGATGAGTGGGTGGGGCACATGGCTCTCCCAGGCTGGTGGGAGAGCAGGCAACTCCGAAGTGACACAGACCAGCACACTCCAGGGGGAGTTTAACAACAAGGCCACAAAGCGGCAGTGCTGGGCTATTAATCAGAAAACTGAATTCAAGCACTTTTGAGAATTCCAGCTAAATGGACCTTCATTGTATATACCCATTTGGGGAAAAATATGATATAATAGGTTCAGAAAGATCTAGATTCAAATCCCAGCTCTTCCACTAATAACTGTGTGCATATGAGCCTTGAGTCATCTCTCTGAGCTTCAGTTTCCCCATCTATGAAGTGGGAGCAGCAATCCCTCCTTGCAGGGTTATAAGAAACACAGGGAACGTATACTCAGTGTATATTTACCCTCCCTCAGCATTTCTAAAAGTCTGTCTGTGTTATAGGGTCCTCCAGGTCCCCCAGGCCCACCTGGCTTACCTGGGATTCCAGGAAAACCAGGAACTGATGTTTTCATGGGACCGCCTGGATCTCCTGGAGAGGATGGAGCTGCTGGTGAACCTGGGCCCCTGGTAAGCAACTGAAGTCCTCTCCCCATCTCTGTGGCCATGGGGCTTGCTTCATCCACGAAGGGGTGGACAAATCACAGCCTCCAGCACTGTGTAAGCCTCACCATGGGGACAGAGCAGATAGCTGTTGGTTTGTAAACAAAAATCCTCCTCTGAATCCCTGCTGAGACTTCTAAGAAGCAGCAGCCAAGAGAAACTTCATCCTGCATGTTGATTTGCTGCTTTATCATAGACAGTACAGCTGATCCCTGACCTGAAAGGGCTCAACTTAATGATTTTTCAACTTTATGATGGTGCAAAAGTGATACGCAGTTAGTAGAAACCATACCCTGAGTACCCATCCTGTGTTCACGCAACCATTCTGTGTTCACTTTCAATACGATATTCCATAAATTACATGATATATTAAATGCTTTTTATAAAATAAACTTTGAGTTAGATGACTTTGCCCAGCTGTAGGCAAATGGAGTGTTCTGAGCACACTTAAGGCAGGCTAGGCTGAGCTGTGATGTTCAGTAGGTTAGGTGTATTAAACATATTTGCAGCCAGTCACAGGGGCCATTACAGGGCTCACATCTGTAATCTTAGCACTTTGGGAGGCTGAAGTGGGGGGGATCACTTGAGACCAGCCTGGACAACATAGTGAGATCCCCAACTCTACAAAATAATAAAAAATTAGCTTGGCGTGTTGACACATGGCCTGTAGTGCTAGCTATTGGGGAGGCTGAGGCAGGAGGATGGCTTAAGCCCGGGAATAGGAGACTATAGTGAACTATGATCATGCCACCATGCTCCAGCCTGGGCAACAGAGTGAGACCCAGTCTCAAAAAAATGTATTTTCGACTTAGGATATTTTAAACTACAATGGATTTATTGGATGTAACCCCATCATAAGTTGCAGGGTGTTTATATAGGAAATGTAAACTCATGAAGAATCTTGGAATTATAGGACATCAGAGCTGGGCTTGGGATGGGAGACCCTTAGAGACCATCTAGTCCAACCCTGCCCATAGAGGAGGAAATGTGACCCAGAAAGGGAAGTACACTCAGGCACAGATGCACAGCCAGCAGAGGCCCAGCTGGGGGTAGGGGATGGCACTCCTGTCTTAGACCTGACACAAGGCCCTCGGCCCACTGGTTTTCCTCACCTCCTTTCCAGGAAGGATTTGTGTGTGATTCTTAGCAGAGATGTTGTGGACTGATTGTCACTAATGTTCTCTAGGGCCCTGAGGGACAGCCTGGAGTTGACGGAGCCACCGGCCTTCCTGGGATGAAAGGGGAGAAGGTATGGGGAGTGCGGGAGGTTTCAACATGTGGGAGCCATCAGGCCCACTCCACTCCTCTCACCCCTCTCCCAGACCTTGCCTATTATGTACATGACCCTCTGAAGTCCCTACTGAGCATCTCTGCAGGGTGTCCCCATTATGGGACTCATTCTACCCACCCCCATGTGTTCCCAGCCTCAGTGAACAGAGTGTTCTTGAGCTCTTCCCTCCCGTCCCTCACCACTGTGACCGGTCTGTCGCCAGGACTGTCTGGTCTGCCCTCCGCATCTCTCACCCTGAGTTGACCTCATCCTTTCTCGCCCATAAGGTGGCCTCGGGCTTCTTATCACGGCTCAGTCTCCCCACCCACATTCCAGCTTGGCTTCCTGCCCTGTCCACCTTTGCAGCAGGCTCTAGTCAGCCCTGCCTTGGCCACTGAGGAAACACGGAGGCTCCACTGCTGGCAGGACACACCTGGCTCTGTGCAGACCTCTGGCTGACCCTTCCCTGCCAGCCTCCTGGCCTTTAACATGGTCGTCTCCCTGTCTGGGACATTCTTTTCCTTTTCTTTTCCCCCAAGATCTAGTTCAGATAAATCTTCTGGGAAGCTCTCCCCTCTCCAGGAGCAGAAAGCTGCCTTCCTCCACTTTCTATTAGCACAGGACTCATGCTGCTGAGAGCCTTCCTAGCCAGTGACACGGCAGGTGTCAACTTACCTGTCTGCCGCTCACCCTCACCCTGCCTCTGTGTCCTTATAACCCAGTGCAGGCCTCTATTAGCACTGGATGAATGAACTACCTTCCTCAGACACCATTAGGCTGCCGTCCCCAGAGCTTCAACTGCCTTCATTCTCCATCTGCTAGCCCCATGCTGGTGCTGCAGGGGGTCGGGGATGGTGAGTCCCAGCCCTGCAGTGCTCCCAGCCCATGTCTGACAAAGGGAGACGATGCAGACAAGGTGACCTCCTCGTGCTAGGGGTGCAGCCAGAGGAGGCAGAGCCCCTCCTGGTGGGGATGGGGTGTGGTGGGGTGCATCTTCCGTGCACCCCTCGTGGATACAGACGTGGAAAATGCTGACTTACTAGACACCACCGTCACCCAACTGAACTTCTAGTTTCCATCAGCTCTCAGGGGTGTTTGCTTTCGTTGCAGCAGTAACTCAATATTTGTGGAAAGCTTATTTCTCAGAAAAGAAATAAGCTTTGAAGAACTAATTTCACGTGTTCTGACTATTTCATAAGAAATTAAATTCTGCAGGAAACACCACAGACCTACATTCATCTTACCTGTTCTTCTTACTGTCTCCCTCCTCCCCACCCCCGCACACCCTCCCATGCTCGGCCTTGCCCTTGAAAATTCACCCAGATGTAGCATCTGCACACAGGACACCCCCACTCCCACACAGGTGCGCTCTGCAGCTGCTCAGAACCAGCCGGACACAGAGCAATGAGTCTGTCCAGGATGACTGTTGGGGGATCAATCTCCTTTTGTTTATTTGCTTTTTCCTGAAATTTACTGAGTCTCAGCTTGTTGAAATGTGTGTATATGATGCTTTCCGACCAAGTGAATGTTGACCATAGAGGGAATGGAAATATGCGTCTGCTGAAGGGAAACCTTGCACAGAACATAACCTTAAAAAAAAAATCAAACAGAGCATCTCCTAGATGAAAAATATCAAAAACGCACTAAAGGAAACGAACCATCTCCAGGGTGTAGCAGAACGTAAGATCCAATGATCCATCTGTTCTGTAATTCCCCACCATGATATCTGCCCTTCACTGTGCACACCTCCAGGGACAAGAGACTCACTTCCTGTCCCAGCCGTGCCTTCCACGGTAGCTCCACCTGGAGGGAAGTCTTTCCTCATGCTTCGACCAAGTCAGCGTCCCCCTTGTGAACACAGAAAGCAGTCTAGGCAGTTCTCTAATGTGAAAAAGGCTTAGTTTATTTAGCTGGAAAAAAATTTTAATATTTAATCATTGTTATAGACTGTGGGATTGTGATCAAAATGTGGATGGTCATTAAGAATTTAACACATAGATTATTTATTCTATGCTGGGTTCAATGTTAGACATACTCCTTAATTTATTTTTCTAAAATTAAGATGAGCAGCTAACGCTAACATCTTTAGCCCAAGAAGGAATAGGTGAGGAGCTTCCTGTAGAATGTTTCTAGAAAGAATGCTGAAGAATTTGTTGGAAGATAGCAGATGTCATTTCTTTCATTTTGGGCTGCAGATTCTGCTGGCAGTTCTGCAGAACATATCTGGAACGAACAGTGGTCACTGTTTTTCTTCTTTCAGAATCTAAGTCATTCATGTTGACTTAGACTCTGCACTCTCAAAAGGTACTAGGACACTGAGGCAGGAAAGAGTTTATGCCTGGGAATTTTCTTCAGTGCCTAGAATTGCTGAGGGACGTTGAGTTCCTGATAACTACCTTTGAGGGAATTTCATGGAGCTGCCGAAATATCATTGTCAAATCAGCTTCTGTCTTTTTTTGTAAGATGTATGAGACATGCAATTAAGTTGTTATCTCCCCCTTTCTCCAAGTAATCCAAATTTGTCTCTGCACAAATCCTTTAAATCTTGTGTAATAAAGAAAAGATTGGCAAGCTGCTTTAGCTGAGGATTCAGTAATGGGTTTAGAGCTTGTAACAACATGTTTAAGTGAAACGTGTTCCTATTTTATACCTTTTTCATCATCAGAAGTGTTCGGTACAACATCTGGATTATAGGCCTCCATAAAGTCAAATAGACCATGGTCATTCGTAATGGATAACAAAATAGTTATCAGAATTACAGACACCAGAAGCAGAACCCAACAGACAGCCACAAGGCAGTTCAGATACTACAATAAAAAAAAAAAATCCACATGTCTATTAGATTCTTTGATGTTCCTGTGTGCTAAAACCTGGTGATGTCCTTAGGAAATCCAATTGTAATGAGCCAACATGTCCAATGAATTCTAAACTATGATTTTGCAACATCCAGCACTACTGTACCTCATTCCTTTGCGATGTTGCCATCGTAGAACAGAACTCTATATTTCATCACAGCCATACTTGCCTCTCTGCTCATTGGAATTCCAAGAGAGTGCATGGCCTCACTGCACAAGAATTCTCTCACTAAGAAAGGATGTGCAACTCCTCCACCACCCTTTAGGGAGCACGGGACTTTCCCTGAGCCTGTTACTTGGAGCTCACATTTTTCATCCTGCCTGCTCATGGGAATTCTAGTAAGGTGGGTGGGCTCTTCTACCCCCAAGCGGATCTGTTTGTGTTCCAAACTGATGGCCACTTTATGTGTGAGCCAGTGGAATAGACCTGATATGGTAGAACCTCTGTAAGTTGACCACCCAAGGGACTGTCTCAAACTGGTCAACCCACAGAGGAACTAGGCCTCTTGTACTGATATGTATGTGTGGTGCATGTCCAGTCTATGAAGATTAGGTCAATTGAAGGAGGTGGTCAATGTAGGGAGGTGGTCCACTATGGAGGTTCTACTGTACTATGTTTTTATCATGTACAAGAGATACATCTAAGAGAAAAATCATCTAAGACAGATAAATCAAGGTCCAAAATATCTTCTAGAGTTTCCTTTGAGACTGATACAAAATGCACTTTTGCCTTGAAAGGAAGAGGGAAGGCAAGTGAAAAATTGTGGTTTTAGGGTGGTGCCTGTGGCTCAAAGGAGTAGGGTGCCGGCCCCATATGCTAGAGGGGAGGTGTTGAGTTCAAACCCAGCCCTGGGCATAAACTGCAAAAAAAAAAAAAAAAATTGTGGTTTTAACTTTAGATGCATAATCTTCTTTAACAGAATCAACTTCCAAGCAACTATGAAGTTTTCAGAGAGGAGGCTACTTTAGATTCTCTTTCATAACAGCCCTGATGGTGCTTTGACTTGTTACTGGAAAGAGGCACAAGGTTGACACTTCGGTCAAGGGCAGATGGCATCAGGCAGCAGGGGGCAGCAGGGGACAGTGGGGGTCACACTCAAGAGAAGCAGACGCAGAGACTGTAGCCTCCAGATTAGGCAGTAAAATGGGAACCCAATTATTTCTGTCATGCTTTGGGCCCAGGTAGAAGATCATGTTTAGTTTCTCCCTGTTGGGGGAGAAAGGTCACAGGCCCCAGGCTGCTACTTCCTTCACCGAGCCCTCCAGCTCCTCCCACCTCCTTAGATGCCCAGGCGTCCTCACTGGCTCCCATGGGAGGGAGCTGCCAAGATTCCATGAGGCTGCTGGGGGCCCCTATGGAAGCCTTTGATTGCGGAAATTCCATGCCATTTCTGCCTGCAAAGCCCACCCCCACCTTTATCCCCTGCTGTCCCCACTCCTAACCACATATTGGGTAGGGTCTCTCAACAGAAAAACAAAGGAGTTTTCACTGCAAGAAGCAGAACCTTTCCCATGCCCCATGCATGCCACCAGGCATGAGGCATTTGTCTTCCTCCAGCATCCTGCAGCAGCTGTCAGATGGCAGAGCCACGAGCCCCACCCAGGAGGGCAGCCTGGTCCCTCAGGAAGGGTGTTGTAGTCTCCAAGCAAAGAGGGTGGGCTCCCAGTCTGTGAAGGAACCGGGGAGATTGTCATGTCTTCAGTGCCCACCACATACGGGTCTTGCTGCTGGGCAGCCATGGCCTTGTCTTTCTCCTTTACCCGGAGGCCTGGGTTAGGCTTATCTTCGACTAAGTTTCAGAGGTCAAAACTGGAAGAAGCCTGCAAGATGAGTTAGCCCTTCATCCCCACCCCTGGGCTCTCACTGTGTCCTGCAGAACCGTGAGACTGTGGAAGGGTTTTGGGGCTATCCAGTTGTGGAGCAGAGCAATTCTACTCTAGGCATTTGTTACAATTAAATTTTAATTACAAAAATAATTTATGAATATATTTTTAAGGGGAAACAGCCCTCCTGGGCCCTATTTCCTCTTTAATTATTATTGTTGGAGTAGATCCTCTAGTCATATTTTTCAGAGATTTATAGACCTTGGATGGTTAAACATTTTTAAATGCCTTTATTTTGTAATCATTTGGCTGGATATAGAATTCTAGGTTCAAAGTCATTTGCCCTTGGTGATTTGGAGATGATATCTATCATCTCCTAACACTCAGTGTTGGCAAACACAAAATCAGATTTCCCTCTGACTCTCTTTCTGTTTGTTGAAGGTCATCTGACTTCTCTTTGGCAGATTTGGAGATTTGTTTTTCTTTATTCTTGGTATTGTGAAATTCCCCTGCATTGTAACTACATGTGGAGTCTTTTCAAAATTTATTCTTCCATTTATCCTTCTTTGTACTTTATGAGCCTTTTTAGGGGTGAAGAGAGAGGGTGATTTTTTTTTTTAATCTGGAGATTTCTATGGGGTTTTTTTTTGTTGTT